TCTTTTTTAAAACAGCCTTATCTTAAGTGTAAATTTCTTTTTTGTTTTAAGATTTTATTTATTTATTTGAGATAGAGAGAGAGAGAACATGAGTTGAGGGGAGAGGCAGAGGGAGAGGGAAAAGGAGGCTCTCCCCTGAGCAGGGAGCCCAAAGCGAGGCTCAATCCCAGGACCCTGGGATCATGACCTGAGCTGAAGGCAGGTGCTTAACCTGCTGGGCCACCCAGCCTCCCCTTAACTGTAAATTTCTTGAAAAATTTTTCTATCTATCCCCATTAATCTTCCAACTCTTGCAACACTTTCTACAGAGCTGTATACATGGAAGGTATGTAGTAACAGCTTATTGAGTTAAATGCAAGGACATTAATCCCAACACATGAAACCTGGTTGATAAGCATCTCCTCTCATGGTATTAAAAGACATCTGGTTTAGGAGAGATTAAAATATTAGGAATACAGTAAATGCTGTACAGAAAGTACCTAATAAACCTCCTCCCAAAACAAACAGTATTCTAAATGAAACCCAGCCCACAATTAAAATTTTGTGTGTCTTAAAGTTTCTAAATCACTTGAAAGGCACACTCCCACTATACCTAAGGCCTTGAAGTAACCATTGTCACTAAAGGCTGGAACCAACATTATAACCTAGGTCTTTCGGCTCCTGTCCAGTGACCCTCCCACCACCTCTTACTTTCCCTAATTATGGTAACAATTCACTTCTGATCTGTTTGTACAGCAAGAAAGTTTATGGCTTCATCTGCTTACCGTTTTTTCCCTTTTAGCCTTGCTAATCAAAGTATGGTCCATGGACCAGCCACATCGTCATCTCCTGGGAATATTTTGGGAAATGAAAAATCTTAAGACATCCCAAAGTGTACATCTTAGCAAGATACCTATTATTATTTGTATGCCCAATGAATTCTAGAAGAACAATTCTAGACAATAGAGAAATTTTAGTTTGGACACTCTCTGTATCTGAAATGAGTGAGTAATTTTGAGCAGCAAAGAGCAACTGAATAACTTAAGTCAATGTTGCTGGCAAGAGAAAAATACCAAAAATGAAATAGGTAGTGAATTAATTAGTATATAACAGGAATTATTTATTAAATTTTAATATTGAAGAGGAGAGTACATTTTAGTATTATGGAGACACATGAGTACCTTACATTTATTAAATCATGTTTGGCATAGTTTTTGAATTTTACAAAAACCTTTTTTATATGCCACCACATAGAAATTTATAAACCTTGCCAAACAAAATTTGATGGAAAATTTAAGAAGTTTCTTTAACTTAAATATCGTAATAATCATTTTCCAGTTAGGAAAAAGCCCCTACCTCCTCTACTGCAACAATTTCTGGTTTTCTATAAAATTTAATTATCTCTGTTCAATTATTTTGAAAAAGAGAATAAATTAGCAATTTTTTTTTTAAAGGATAGTACATTTCCAATTCTTTGTATTGACCCAGTACCTTCCCTCTCCTGAGAAGTTAGTTGTGAACCATCAGTCTCTTCTGGTGGCTTTGCAGGTATGAGGTCAGGAAGTTCTAGAAAGTGTAGTGTTGAAGATTGAGATATCTGATTCATATAAGTTTGCCTCTGCTCTCGAGAGACCTGAAGTGGAGAACTCAGATCCAGGAGCTCCAAGAGAGGAGCTAAGTGCAGAGCCCCAGTGGGATTGCTCTTCTAACTCTCTTTCCTGAAGGATATTGAAATATTCTGTGTATTTTTAATGTCCCAAGTAGTTTTCAGTTTCTTTTTTTTTTTTTTCAAATGAACGACAATTTTATATCAATTTCAAAGGCATTTGAGCTTCATTCTGGGAAGATAAGTTACCAAAGATAAGGTATCCTTCTGTATATTAAAAATATACAGATATGTGTAAGCTGAATTAAACATTGGCTGATATCCAAAGGAGGGACAATTGTCTGACCCAGAAAAGATTGCTGTTTACACTTTGACTCCTGAATGTAATAAGATATTGGGGTAAGAGGGAAGTATTTATTTTTGCTTTAGTGATTTATACCAATTTGACTAAAATCCTTAGTAAGAATAGCCAATTAAAGTGTCACAAATCTTGAAAAAGATCAGTTCGGTGAACAAAGAACACTGAATAAGAAGTCTAGAGAGCCAGGTTCTAGTCCTGCTTTTATAATTAGCTGTATAATCTAAGGCAAACCATTTAATATCTCTGGATTTGGTTTTCTCATTTGCAACTTCCTACAAAATCCTGGGTGCAGAGGGGAGACTACTTTACTAACTCTGGGAAATGATGAAAGGCAGACCTTGCATAGGGGGCTGGATCACTTTCTTCACCAGCAGACAAGTCAGGATGACTACATTCTGAAACCAAAAAGTGCCATGAAAACCTACAGAAAAAATTATGTTTCAGTGAAAAGGGACTAACTGAGCAGAACTTTACAGAGGGACTATTTGATGTTTTTAAATATGAATAGGATCTGATAGAAAAGGAAAAGGAGCAGCATGAGAAACTTTATGGTGCACACAGGGCTGCCAAATTTTTATTGCATCTGTAAACACCAGCATAAATGTAACCACCATCACAAACATTATCCTTCTGAAAAAAAAAAGAAAGAAAGAAAGAAGAAAGAAGAAAGAAAGAAAGAAAGAAAGAAAGAAAGAAAGAAAGAAAGAAAGAAAGAAAAAGAAAGGAAGAAAGGGATGTTTAAACCTCTCCAACAAATGTCAACAGACAAACTTACACCAAGATATTTAATTTTCCAAGGTCATATGTTAGGGAATTGGGAGAAAATTCAATAAATATTAACTTAAAATTATTCTATTTTACAGTAAAACTAAAATCCATTTTACTCATTTTTTTAGCAATTGTTTTTTTAAAATAAAGACAAAAATAAAATAAAATTAGGACAAGAACATCTGTGTGCATGTGGGTGTGTTCAAATACCAAAACAGCGTAAACGTCAGTATTTAATTAAAAAGAATTACCAAACAGACTCAATAGCATCCCACACACCATATTAACTCTCATAACTGCACATGGCTTTAATTACTCTCTTCTTGGAAAATTATTGTTTCCATTTATTTGTACTTGCAATCTCTTTCACCATCTCAAAGCATCTCCACCATTTTTCCTCTACTCTAAGGCTATTGGGGGGACCAACCTATCAGCAGGCTGTCAAGGATGGAAGGTCTAGACCACATGTGACAGGGCCAGCTTTGGACAGGTAGGCAAAACTAATATTTCAGCTGACCTCTGAATGGTCACTATTTAATTGTGATTTGTGCAATTAACTAAGATCAAAGCAAATTTACAGACAGTTATGTAAACTTTTCCACAAAGAGAAAAAATTGCTAATTTGTTCATTGATATAATGGAAATAAATAAATAAACCAAAACATTTTTTTGTGGAACGCAGTTCACTTATACACACACACACACACACACACATACACACATAACTAAAATTAAAATGTTACGTTAGGGGCGCCTGGGTGGCTCGGTCGTTAAGTGTCTGCCTTCGGCTCAGGTCATGCTCCCAGGGTCCTGGGATCGAGCCCCGCATCAGGCTCCCTGCTTAGCAGGAAGCCTGCTTCTCCCTCTCCCGCTCCCCCTGCTTGTGTTCCGTCTCTCGCTGTCAAATAAATAAATACAATCTTTAAAAAAAAAAAAGTTACGTTATTCCATGAAATAAATATATCTAGATATAGACATAGATATGTATCTCAAGGAAATTGTCAAATTCTACAAATCGAGGCTCTTTCTTTCTTTCTTTGTTTTTTAGAGCCAGGTGTTAAATACTTAGCAGCACACCACTGGTTGCAGACCACTAACTGCATTTCACTAGTTATTTATGGGTCTCAGCTTACAATTAAAAGGACACTGAATAACATACAGTTTCCAGGACCTAGAGCTGCCCCTACCCCTGCCATAAATATTAGTTTTCTTCTTAGCTTCCTCCTCCCACCACTCTGATTCAAACATGTATGTATAAATATTAAGCAAAAAAAAAAAACAAACCCACAACTTTTTGGTATATATTTACATTTATTAAAAATCAGAACACAGGGATGCCTGGGTTGGCTCAGTCCATTGAATGGCTGACTCTTGGTTTCAGCTCACCTCATGATCTCAGGGTCGTGAAATCCAGCCACCAGTGAGGCCCCACACTGAGCACGGAGTCTGCTTGGGATTCTCTCTCTCCCTCTCCCTCTGCCCTACCCCCGCTTGTGTGTGTACTCTCTCTCTCTCAAAAAAAAAAAAAAAAATCAGAACACCAATGAGCAATACAAAACGTGGATGGGCCTCAGGAAGGAAGGGAGCCCTGAGTAGAATTATCCTGCAAATGAACAGAAACTTGCCAGCGACTGTGATTAAGATGATACATCAGTGAAAACACGAGTGAAATCCGTGGCCTCCGATGTGCAGTTGTCCTTCTTTCCTTTTAAGAAACGTTCAACCTCACCACAGTAAAATCTAGTAAGGGTTTAACTGTCCGCTAACCAATGACGGCTTCCTGACAGAATATGCAGTTTTGAAATTATTGCCGTATTTATTCATCTATAATTATTAGTTGTTGATGTTTCAAAATATATCTGGTGAGGGGCTGAGCAACAGAAAGTGAATGGAAATATCACAGAAAGTGCTAGTGGTAGTAAGAGAGGGCAGCAGCCCTCAAACTTAGCTTATGCCCTGATCCCTTCCAAATGGGGTAAAAGTCCTGTGTGTCCTCTTCACGCCATTCCAGACTTTTCCCCATCTTCTCTTTATCTTTCTTTCTTCTTCTTTGTTTTTCCTACCTAGAAGTAGTGGGTATATCAAGTATTCTGAAAAAGAGGGATCTTGGGTTCAAAGAGAAGATTCCTTTTTTTTTTTCTCAAGTCTTAGAAATGAAAAGCTTCCCATGGTAGCCAAAAGCGTGCGCATGAGTGTGTGTGCACGTGCACACACACACATGCTTTAAGTGACTTTATTCTTCTACGTTCCAGTCCTTTTGCTTCAATTCGCTCACACAGAAGAAGTCTATTCAGTTTCTTTTTGAGTAAACAAATTAGTATTATGGAAATGTGAGCTGAAAATTTTACCTAGTAAAATGTACTTCAGCGCTCTGTGAAACCAAGGATAGAAGAAACCATATATTAAGGCATTACATGTGGAGTTAAAATAACCAAACCATATCAAAGCATCAAACCAAACCAAAGGAGTAGAGAAGTCCAAAAAGGGATCCAATAAAATTGTGAAGAAACAGGGAAACCAACATAATAAGAAAACACCCATCACTATTCCTAAAGTTTTGGCTGCTTTTTTGTCTTTCCTCATTTGATTATTTTGATTTTCTGGCAAGTTATTGATTGCACAAGAATGTTTTCTCGATACCGCAAAAATCTTGCCATAAATCCCCACATCACAGACCCTGGAGTGAAGAAACCTGCCATAAACAAGGTGGTCCCCCATAGCTTGTTGAACATCATTGGACAGGAACTGGAACAAGCCACCAAGATATCATAGCCTCCTATCCCATCAGCGTAGGCCTCTGAGAAGACGACCCCAAAAGCAAATGCTCCAGGGACCAACCAGCAGAGAAGTAGCAATCGCTTAATGAGGGGAATCGTTATTTTCGTGGAATAACGTAAAGGGTAACAGCATAAAATCTATCAATGGCCACTGAGCAAAGATGGAAAATGGACGTTATGCTAAGCATCAGATCAAAACTATAATGAATCTTGCAAAATGTAAGCCCGAAATACCAGCAAGTCTCCACGGATCTGACCATACTGTAGGGCATGATGGTGAGCCCCAGGAGGAAATAAGTGACTGCCATGGAGAGGATGAGGAAGTTGGTTGGTGTGTGAAGCTGCTTGAAGTAGGAAATGGAAATGATCATGGCAAGATTGCCAAGCACCGTGATGAATATGGCTCCTGCTCGGACACCCAGTGGCCTTTGATTTTCTGGGCAAGATCCATTTCCATGTCCAGAGCAATCCAGTATTTCCTTCAGAAAAAGCGAGAACACATGAAATGTTGTCAAAGTTTTCATAGAGAAACTCAAGAAAAATATAGAAGACTCAGGGAAGATATTTAATTTATGCTGAAATATCAGTTATGATCTTTCTCATTTATTTATCCTAACCTTTATTTGCAACTTCATAGCATTTTAACCTGAGCTTAAATGATCATTATTTGCTTTATAATTTCCTAGGTACAAATTATACCACCATTTTGTAAGCTCTTACTTTATGCCAGGGCCAGAAATTTAAAAAAGGAAGAGAGGAGGAAGAGAAAGAGAAGACTGGGAGGAGAGGTGACGGGGAAGAGAAGAAGCAACAAGTTCATTATCTAATTCATTATAATTGATATTCCTTATGTTCATAGAAAGACTAGATATGTATTATACAATACATTCACTTCTCCCTCAAATAAGTCTGGAACAAATAATCAGATTTTATTTGATTCAGATCTACTGCCTTGTGGGACCAGGTTATTATCATTTGAAAATTGTTTCATTCATGTTTGTATTATTTTCATGGTGTTTTGATTTTGTTCTCACCAAGGTTGTTTGCAAGGGAAAGAGTGATTTAAGGATGTCTAATGATCTAGTAGAACATCTTCAGCCAGTCATGGAGCCTTGACAAGCATCTCACCAGCCAGAGCAGCTCAATCAGACATGGGCAGAGGCCAAAGTTGGACCACCTTCACTTCTTTGTGAAGAGCAAGCTCCCCTCTATGGTGCTTCCCCTCAGAGCCTCAGGCAATGCAAAGCAGGAAAAAAATGAAAGCCTGATGTTTCAGTGTGCGGGTCACATAGACAGCTAGGAGCAGATGGTAAGTGAGCTTTAGGACAACAAGCCATCTCCACTCCCTTCTTGTGTGGGCCCAGTATCTTCATTCTGCATATAAAAATCTGCATGTATATTTGAAAGGAAACATGTTCAATAATTATATAATTTACCTTTCTTAAGTACGTTGAGGGGAAAAGCACTATCTAACACAAAGCATAACTATTAATACTGTAGAGTCTTTGGCCATCAAGGACTTCACAAAAATCAGACATGACTACTTACTAACAGATAAACCAGTAGATTCTCAGCCCCTGTGAGTACCATCCCACACTGAGCAATAACTGTTTAGTGAGTCCCCACAACACACAAGACACAGTGAAAGAACAAGAAAGCACTAGTTCACTAGTCCTGGGCTGCAGAGATTCTACAAAACATGTGATGAGGCAAAACATATCAACACTTAAAACATAAATGATTCTGCACCACAAATAAAAAGCAACTATGGAGATTAACTGAACTGAGAGGGGTTTAGGCAAAACGTGCTAAGATAAAAAATGGACAGGAGAATTTCAGGCTGGGGTAGACAAGAATGATCCGGTGAGGGTGAAACTTTCCATCTGGTTCTCAATAGATGAGTGGAATTTAAAACAGAAGAGAGGGGGTGCCTGGGTGGCTCAGGGGCTTAAGCATCTGCCTTTGGCTCAGGTCATGATCTCCAGGTCCTGGAATCGAGCCCCATGTTGGACTCCTGGCTCAGCGAGGAGTCTGCGTCTCCCTCTCCCCCTACTTCTCCGCCTGCCTCTGCTCTCTCTGTCTCTCTCCCTCTAAAATGAATAAATAAAATCTTAAAAAAACAAAACCAAAAAACAGAAGAGAGAAAGCCAATTCCAAGCAGAAGGAAAGGTGAAGAAAAAGCATGAGGTTGTTCAGAGACCTTCATTCTAAGGGTCTCTGAAACAACACAGAGAAACTAAAGGGTTGAGGAGAAGACAGAGTGGGAGGAGGGAGGATTTCTGGTTTCGTTGTTGCCCCCATTGTAAGTCCGTGGTCTTAGCCAGCATAAAATCAAGGAGCTTCCCCATTTTCTTCTCAAATTTAAGTAGTGGTTTAAAAAAAGAAAAAAATAAATAAAGCATTTAAGATAGCTGCAGGAGAATGAGTGCAGATTTGAAATTAAAAGCTTTCTCCAACTGATTCTTTTTTTTATTGAATAATTGACATACAAGATTGTATTTGTTTTGGGTGTACAACGTAGTGATTTGATATTTATACATATTACAAAATGGTCACTACAATAAGTCTAGTTATGATCTGTCACCATGCAAAGTTGTTACAATATTGTTGACTATATTTCCTATGCTGTACATTATTACTCCCCATGTCTTACTTACTTTTTAACTGGAAGATAGTACTTCTTAATCCTATTCACCTATTTTGTCCATTCCCACCCTTCTGCCTTCTGGTAACCATCAGTTTGTTCTCTGTATCTATGAGTCTATTTCTGTTTTGTTCATATGTTCATTTGTTTTGTTTTTTACGTTCCACGTATAAATGAAATCATACGGTACTTGTCTTGCTCTGTCTTACTTATTTCACTTAGCATAATACCCTTAAGATCTATCCATGTTGTTGCAAATGGCAAGATTCATTCTTTTTTATGGATGAATAATATTTCGATGTAGATATATATATACCACATCTTCTTTATCCATTTATCTATTGATGGACATTTAGGTTGCTTTCACATCTTAGCTATTGTAAATAATGTTGCAATGAACATAGGAGACCATATGTCTTTACAAATTAGAAAATACAGTACAGTTGACCCTTTAGCTTATATGTGGATTTAATTGCAAACTTCTTTGTGATCCTGGCTTAGTGACTCTGATATTATTATCATCCTACTGTCCATTTTTGGAAAGTCATGCTCAATCCTTCTAAGCTTCAAATCACAGGGCACAGAGCTGACCTCCCTTACCTGTAGCATTCAGGAACCTAATTAGCCAATCAACTCTAAGAACCATAATAAAGTTCTTTGAAACACATAGCATGATGCATACATTAGAATATGTCTTCCTTGTCCCCCCGCCACAGAGCAGGAAGGGGCACAGTAGATGACTATTTGGCGACTTCATCAAACAAGATGTTTAACTTCTCTCTAAGCATCATTGTCTTCAATGGTATAATGTGACATCCATCATCAGTTTAAACCTTTCGATGGTCAAATCTTTCACATCTTTCAGTGATTGTCTGTGAATGCTAGATGCATAAAACAATACTTTCAAGACTATATTCTTCAAGTGTCACTAAAAAAATCTTTTTAACTATTAATATAAGCACACATAGATACATGGATGGCAAGAGAATTAAAGTCTGGTCTTTTCCCCATTATTGCTATATCTATAAGAAGCACAAAAATTAAAGATCCAAAACATAATGAATCACTTGCCCATTCATGAATAACAAATAAATACTGTATCTAAACTGTATTCTACTAAACTTTTAAAAATAAAAGCTTTTTCTACATTCCCTGGGAAAGTGATTAAATTGCAGGACCATAACCATCATAATAGGAATTTTCTGATTTTTCTAATGCAATCTCATTTCTCTTTACCTTATTAACTTTGGTAAGTGCTGCCATAGTAAATATTCCTTCATTCTAGCAACCACTTTTTTAAACTTTTAACAGACTTTACAAAGTCCTTCTTCCGGCTAATTATTCTTTCTACCTTTCCGGAATTATTCTGCCCTTACCCAAGCTATTGGTTTCTTTCAGTTTTTCAATTTCTATCAAATATTCCATGTTAATGAATCATAAGATATTAAATAACACAATGCCTGATATACAAAGAACATTATCAAAGTGACTTTCTTCTCATCTTTATTCCTTCCTTGTTGGGATGAACATCACATTCAAGAATACATTTGACTAGAAAATACTGTTCCTAAGAAAGTGAAGAATGGGATTGTATGTAAAATCCTAGGTCAGCCTTAACCCTCTCTACACTTAGGTGAATACCAGTGATAACCCACTCAGCCACTTGTGAAGAGGCAACCCTTTCTAGTATTCCATATCTTCTTCCCAAGAAACTTGTTGCATTGCCAAAAGGCAACACATTATCCTGTTCACATAATAGAAAGACTCAGCCTTTTATTGCAAATTCATATTAAATCCTGCACCTACCATCTTTCACATTCCTACACCTTCTCTTTGCACATGACAAAAACGCAAAAAAGAATCAAGTCACACATAATGCTATCACATAATTAGAGTGACAATTGACTTCCTAACAAAACCTCAAGAAAGAGAAAACACAGGTCCATCCTCAATCCCTTTTCCACATACCTGTTGTACTGCAGAAGACGCCATTGTTAATGAAACTCCTTCTGGAAGGAATTTTATTGCCTTGTTTCTTTTATGTGGAACTAGAAGACCTGAACTATGTGACTTATGCTCTTCTAGAACTTATCAATTAGTCTTGAGGGAACTGGGACTGAAAATTTTAAGGGGGTGGGGAGCAAAGACAAACATTTGCTCTTCTAAAGTTGAACAGATTAATAAGCTTGAAGCAACCCGCCGGCCCGCCGCCATCCTCTCAGGAGTGTCTGCTTATCTAAGTTGTCATCACCTGACCTGAGGTCTCGAAGTCTGTTATCACATAATGACTGTAAAAGCCAATCTGAACTGTTGTGTTCATTACAGGTGGCCCTAAGGAACCTGATCCCAACCTCACAGGGATGGGACCAGTGGTTCCAGTAGAAAAATGGACATGTGTCCTGTATCTCTTTAGGAAAATCCAAGATTGTCACAGTCTACATTTGTCTCACATTCCAGTCACTGAAAAGGAGCCGGACCATCCATTGTTCTTCTTTTTCTTTTTTTTCCCCCACATAAATGTGACTAAAAGAACAAATCTCATCAACCCTCCTAGACCTGGAAGAATGGGGCAACTTGCTGAATTCTCCTATAATTTGAAAAATTTCTCCTTAGATTCTTTTGGATTTTTTATGTGGTTAATAATACTATCTATAAATAATTATGGTTTTATTTCCTCCTTTTCAATCCTTTAGGCTTTCAATTTCTTATTCTTAATATATTGCTAAGACCTCTAGATCAATGTTGATTAAGGTATCATTACAAAATGATGAAGCTGCTTTTAAAACAAAATCCATATGTCTTATGACACTGAAAAAGTCCTTTAGAGATGATACGGTTCAAAACTTTTGGGAACTCCTTTCTGCTAGTCTTTAATTCACACACAAAAAGCTAGCCATTTTAGGGTGGTTCATGTTCCTTTCTAGAAAATAAATACCATAGTTTATTACTGAATCAAATCACTGAGACTATGCTTAAAGAGTTTCTTACTGTTTCTGAAAATGCAACTCACATTAAAGACTTTTTTTAAAAGATTTTATTTATTTATTTGACAGACAGAGACAGTATAAGCAGGGGAAGCAGCAAGGAGAGGGAGAAGCAGGCTCCTGCTGAACAGAGAGCCCAACATGGGGCTCGATCCCAGGACCCTGGGATCAGGAACTGAGCCCAAGACAGCTGCTTAACTGACTGAGCCACCAAGGTGCTCCTACATTACAGATTTTAAAAAATATATCTTAGCTATTTTAATCTGCAAAAAATAGAATTACTTCTACTTTACTCTGATAATGACTTCTTCTCTGGATTACTAAAGCACTCATTCATTGTGGCAACTTTCCTTGTCACTCAAATGCTTTGTATTGAGATTTTCAGTTTACACTACACTACTGTACTCTGTTTCCACTTTATTTTTACCTTTATCCTTTCCCACCCTAAACACATCCTAATGAAGTAGATTTTAAATAATTTTTATACTACAAAAAAGAGAAGAATTAAGGGAAGGAAGGAAGGGAAGGAGAGAAGGAGGGCAGAGAAAAGAAATGAGAAAGACATGAAAGGCAAAAGACATGTGTGATATGATCATGCTCAAACTCTCCAATGGCTTCCCTTCTTGAAATAACATTCAAAGCTCTAATTTTGGCTTAAAAGTTCAGCCATTCCAGCTATCTATTTGATCTCGTCTTCCCTAACTCTCCTTCTTAAAAGAAAATATCAGATTTGATAGAAAAAAAATCCAACTATAAGCTGTTTTAAAAAGATGAATCTAAAACAAGGATACAGACATTCTGAAAACGAGAAACAGAAAAAAATTCCAAACAAATATAAATCAAAAGAAAATTTGTGTAGTCGTGTTAATATCAGACAATATATATGTTAAGGCAAAAAGCATTACTGGCAAAAAGGATACATAACAAAAGGAGTTCCACTTGCCAAGATGATGTAATGTATCTAAGTTTAATCACAGTTTACTATATAGAAAATCTATAAAGAATCTATATAGAATCTATAAAGAGAAAACTGACCAAACTATAAGGAAAAATAGACAAAGTCCACAACCCTTGCGGCAGATTTTAATACATATCTATCAATAACTGAAAGAATAAGTACCAAATATCAATAAGATTTTAGATAAGCTAGACCTAATGAAAATAGGTAAAGCACAACAAAACAACTGCAGAACACACAGTCTTCTCAGGTATACACAAAAACATTTACAAAAAATTGATAAAATATTGGGGTATAAAGTAAAGCCTCAACTAATTTCAAGGGACTGACATAATATGTATCAAGTTGTCTAAGCCCAGAGCAATTAAGCTAGAAATAAATAAAAAGGTAACTAGGAAAAAATCCCTTATCTTTGGATATTAAAAACATACTTCGAGATCACTCATTGACTTCAAAAAAAATCGAACATTAAAATTGGAACTTACTTTGAACTAGACAATGAGAAAATGTATTAAGGCTTGAAAGAGTCATCTAAAATTAAAACTCAAAAGGATAAATTTTCCCTTAAATGCTTAAATTTGAAAAGAAGAAAGACTGAAAATCAGCTAAATAATCATCCAAATTAAGAAGTTAGAAAAAGAGCAATGGAATACCCAAAGAAAAGAAAGGAAAAAATAGTAAGATAAGAGCAATAATTGATACAGGAAACCAACATACAATAAAGGCTAAATAAAGCCTAGATACTTTTGAGAAAGAGAGAGAGAAAATAAACAATATTAGAAATAAAAAAGACATATGAATATGTGTAACTACATACTCAGGAAATATTTAAAAGGTAATAAGATACTATGAACAACTTTATACCAAAACAATGGAAAACCCTAGAAATTCTTAGAAAAATATACTTCATAGAAATTGACTCAAGGAGAAATGGGAGACAGTTTGTTGGACAGTATGTGTTTCTATACTACAAATTAGCTCGTATCCAATTGATCCATAGCAGGATGATGTCAGTATAATTCAGAATTATATGTTGATTCTCATGTGATCTTTCCCAACACATCAATGTTGTGAGTAATTATGACAGTCTTCCTCACAATCGAAAAAAGAACCCTAACATCATATGTATAGGTCTTAGGGATCTTCCTGAAGCACAAGCAGTGGCTGCTTTGGTGGTTTTGAAAACGGCTTTCCTTGTGGCAGCAGGAATCTCTCTAGGGAAGTCAAGAGTACCTATGGAAAGGGGGCAGAGGTATTTCCTCCAATGCTAAGGTTTTTTGTTTTTGTTTTTGTCTTTTTGTTTTTGTGACTGATGATTAATGGCATGCCTGAGATTAGATTTGTAATTTTTATTTTGTTATTAAACTATTCTCTTATTGGAAGCAAATGTACTCACACATCCAGAATTCAAAGGTGCAAGCAGAAGCCCTATTAAAGAAATTCACTGTGAAGCTGAGTGCAAATTCCAGGAGGAATTTACTCGTGTTTTTGTTAGGATTATTATTGCTTTTGTTAGGGTCCCAGTTACAGTGCTACATGGGGCTTGGGTGGTCTGCCAGTAATCCTATTTCCCCCATTAGCTGTATTATTCATTCATAGAGCACAATTTTAATAACATTGTTTTCTCTGGTACCCACACATTACATTAAACCAGAAACATCTGTGACTAGTCTGGGACCTTTTAAAATGAATAGTTTGAAATGTTCTCATAAGGAAAACTTCATGTCCAGGTGGTTTTAATAGCAAGCCCTACTGAACATTCCAGAACCAAATAATTCCTGTCTTACACAAACCTCTAGAATACAGAAAATGGTCAGTCTGCCGGTCAATTTTATGAGGTTAGCATAAACTTCATATGAGGTTATCAAATCCTCACAAGGATATGCAGGATAGGAAAATTAAAGTTTATTCTTACTCATAAACATAAAGGTAACTGTCTATAGACTACTGACTTATTTTTTTAAAAGAAAGATAAAATATGCCTACATTTTTATCCATGTAAGTAAGCATGGCTTGACATTTTGACATTAGGATGTGACTTGCAGTCATTCACGTCGGAAAAAGAGTGGATAATCATTCAAATATCTCAATTGACACATGATAAAATTCAAATCTACTTATGATTTTAAAAAGTAACTTGCAGGGGCGCCTGGGTGGCTCAGTCGTTAAGCGTCTGCCTTCGGCTCGGGTCATGATCCCAGGGTCCTGGGATCGAGCCCCACATTGGGCTCCCTGCTCAGCAGGAAGCCTGCTTGTGTTCTCTCTCTTGCTATATCGCTCTCTACCAAATAAATACATAAAATCTTTAAAAAAATAAATAAATAACTTGCAGCAAACTAGGGGTAAGAGTTATTTCCTTAAACCCAATTAGGAGTATTGCTGCAAAAACTGAAAAGTTTTCAATAGATATCTTACTTAATGATGAAACATTATTCTCTTGAGGATGAAGAAAACCCTCCAAAAACCTCTAAAACCACTTCATTTCCTTCTTTTGTTGAAGGCTTTGGCCAGTGCAGGAAAACAGGAGAAAAATGTATAAGGATTAGAAATGGGAAAAATCATTATTATTGACAAATGACACAAACATCTATGTAAAATATTCAAAATATGTGTTATATTTTTAGGATTAATAGGAGAGATTAACAAGGTTGCTATTAAAAAATCAGTGTACAGAAATATATCACTTTTCTAACAAAAATGATTAGAAATCATGACTTTTTAAAAGTCTCTCTTTACAACATAATCAAAAAAATACATACAGTACCTTTAAAAATAGATGTGACAGTTCTTTATGGAAAAGGTTTAAAATTTTATTTAAAGACATAAATGAAGCCCTAAATAAATGAAGAAATATACCATATTCTGGGATTGGAAGAATCATTTTGGTAAAGGTGCTAATTTTCCTCAAAATGATCTATAGATTTAATATAGTTTCTATTAAAATTTCAGAGGATGTGAGTGTGTGTATGTGGGTGTGGGCGTGTTATTTGACAAGTCATCTCAATAATTTATAAGGAATTACAAAGGGCCACATAAACCTAAATTCTCCA